AGCAAGTGTGCGAGGGAAAGGCCTACACCAATGACGACGAACCCGCAATCATGACCGACGATTGAAAGCGACAGGCCGTATAATGAAACTATAATTATGCATGATTTCTATATTCCTGCTATCCTTACAACTAGTACGACTATTCCTACTATTGCTATTCGTACTATGGTTACTTCTAGAACTAATTCAATATAATAAGCCCTATGAACCCACCCCGAGCGCGCTGCCGCACGAGACCGCGCCTAGAAAAAGGCCATGTGCCCAAAGAGCCCAAAACGCCTTAGTATTAGTTAAGGAAATACCTCACACTGAAATGTAGGATCCTCAGTATGAATGACGGTATATTCCTTGAATAAAGGGCTTTGGGCTCCCTGGCGTGTATTTCTGCGAGGCGTTCCCGGCCTCCTCCACCGTGGGATATGACTTGTAATGGAGGTTGTCAAATCTGAGAGATTCAGGGTTCAGGGTTTAGAAAGGGCTTCATATGTATGGCTTAGTTTGTAAGTTTAGGCGTCATAGATGTTGCAACTGGGCTATGACGCCCCTGCCCCGGTCAACTTGATGGGACTCCGACGTCCCGTTGATACGTTGACGCCCCATGAGCTCACAGTGTGCGCTCACTGTGACGTTCTGATGCTTTACCCTGAACCCTAAATCTTAAACCCTGAACCCTAAACCCTAAAGCGCAGTTCTGTTGGTGATCTTGAAGCACTTCAGGTGAGAAGCCTATACCTGATCCAATAGGCATATTCTTAAAGGGCGCTATTTTGGAGGGCCCACCACTCCACTTCTAAAGCAACACACCTTTAATCATAGTATAAGCCACCTCAAACGGGTAGTTCTCTGAATTAGGGTCCCCTTTTGGGTACCCATTATAAAGGCGGCGGCACCCTTTAAAAATGACCACAAAAAGGGACCCTAATTTAGAGAACTACCCAACGGACTTAAGGTAGAATCCTTCATGAAGGGGTATCGGGCCCTCATCCCGAAAAGACTGCAGATTCTATCTTCGGGTAGCTACATGATCCTTCGATATGGCCCCTGACAAGGGGACCCCTTGAATGCCCCTTATATACCCTATACAAATTGAGAGCCCATACATCAGAACCCTTTTCAAGAGGGCAGGGACCGTATTATAAGGGCCCATGAAACTACCCTTAGATCCTCAACCCTAAACCCTAAACCCTAAAACCCGAAACCCTAAACCCCAGTCCTTGACTAAAGGGTACTGGCCTCTATGGGCAGCTACCCACGGGAGCGTACTAAAGGAACGCCGTAGTAATGGAAAAAACGCCTCCGATGTCGGGGGCTACTCTTGCTTGCAGGTTGCGGGCTCAAGTGGTTGAGGGGTTTAGGGTTTAGGGTTTAGGGTTTAGGGTTTAGGGTTTAGGGTTTAGGGTTCAGGGCTGGGTTCGTAGAACCCTGTGCTGGTGTCAAAGGCAGTCACGTCTGCCCTCCTACCTATTCGCAACCAAACCTAAACCCAAAAACCCTAAACCCTAAACGCTAAGCCCTAAGCCCTAACCCTAAACCCTAAACCTCAAACTCTAATCTTGAGGGGATCTGTGAGGAACCCTGCTTTCTGCGGGAAGCATCCGCAAGATTCGCATCCGACTCGGACAAGAGTGCTTGAGTTTGGGGATCCCGAGGCGCAGGAGACGCAAGCCATCCGACTCCTTCTTAGGGTTTAGGGTTTAAGGTTTAGGGTTTAGGGTTTAGGGTTGAGAATATGGGTTTAGGATTTCGGGTTTAGGGTTTAGGATTTAGGGTTTAGGGCTTCTTGGGGTAGCCCTTAAATGGGGACCCCGTATATACAGCCCTTTTGATGTACCCTCTACAACCCAAGGGCCCATACTTCAGAACCCCTTTAAAGGAGGCGCTGGACCATATTAAGGGTCCATATACCTACCCTTGTACTCCTCATTATGCTTTTTCATTATGGTCCCGTACATGCTTGCAGAACTTGGCAAGAGGCTGCTCAGGAGCTGCATCGGAACAGACATGCCCACCCGCCCTGTAGGGATCCCCTGCGCCAGTGGCGCACTGAAAATTGCAGTGGCAGCTGCAGAATTAGTCGGCTTGCGTTGGGATGCTCCGCCTTGCACGAACAGTCCTTCATAGGGATCCTAGAATCCCCCCGATTCGAATCCCTCTTAGGGACTGTTTGTATAAAGGGGGAACATCCCACAATTTTCGGGTTTATAGGGTGTCGTCCGCCCAAGAAGCAGATTGCCATCACGGATCTGATGCGCTACCATTCCTCTGCTACTTGAAGGTTCATGGTACTTACTGTACTTATAACCCCACTTATGGTACCCCTGAAGGGCCTTATAGGGGTTATCAAAATTATAAGTAGGGTCATAAGCCCAGCTATAAGGGGTTATTAAGTCCCATGAACCTCCAAGAGTAGCTGTTGCATACCACAACTGATCCTTGGCCCTTGGGCAGCTCCAAAACTTTTTACTATTCCAACAGGCGATGGCCCTCACACCTTGGCAAGGGCTCGGCCTGACGTGTCGGTTCAGGGTTGAGGCTTACTTGAAGGGTTCAGTTTAGGGTTTAGGGTTTAGGGTTTAGGGTTTAGGGTTTAGGGTTTAGGGTTTAGGGTTTAGGGTTTAGGGTTTAGGGTTTAGGGTTTAGGGTTTAGGGTTGAGGGTTTAGGGTTTGGGGTTTGGGGTTTGGGGTTTGGGGTTTGGGGTTTGGGGTTTAGGGTTTAGGGTTTAGGGTTTAGGTCCCCGACTGTTTTGATGGGAAAAGGAGGTGAAAACCTCCCTCTTTCCCTCCTACCCCCCAAAACGCGGTGGGGGGGGGGGTGGGGGGGGGAGGGGGGGGGGGGGGGGGGGGGGGGGGGGGGGGAGGGCGTGGGGGGGGGAGGGGGTGGGGGGGGGGGGGGGGGGGGGGGGGGGGGGGGGGGGGGGGGGGGGGGGGAGGGGAGGGGTGGGGGGGGGTCGGTGCACAATTCTGCACAGCGCGAGCACAGGGGGTAGGGGCGCCCTCGCAAAATCAGCGTTTTTGGGTTTTTGGCCCCCCCCCCCCCCCCCCCCCCCCCCCCCCCCCCCCCCCCCCCCCCCCCCCCCCCCTACCCCCCCGGCCCCTCCTTGCTGGCTTCTCCTGTTTGGGTCCTGGCGCCCCCCCCCCCCCCCCCCAACGTTTCACAGAACTCTGCCGAGCAGGCTGGGATCATCTTCGAACCATGCGATGAGGAAAGCAAGCCGACGAGTGGGTTTAGACCTTTCAACTATGCTCCAGCGGGGTCGGCGGCTTGAGCCGGAGGCTCTTAAATTTAGGGCCTTTGCACCACCCTTTCAGAGCACTTTTCGGGAATTATGTCATTGGCCGAGTTAGGAATAATTAAGTGAGCCCTTTAAGGGCACCACCTCAGGTGTATGAGATTGGCGCCCCTGAAGAAGCGGACAAATGCGGGTTTCCGAAATTGAGGTTACCTTATTGGGGTCCTTATTGTAAGGGGATCCTACTATTTTAAAGGGATTACATTGGGAGTCCCTTATTTTCGTAAACCCCCAAGTAATTCCCGAATCTTGAACCATCTCCTCCTCCTGGGACGACACCCGTGTGAGAGAGAGGATGGCCAAGCAAACGCAAAACCTGAAGACACTAAACCCTGAAACCCTGAAAACAAAAAAAAACTAAAGCCCTGAAACCCTGAGAACGTTAAGCTGCTTAAGGGGCACGGCGCAGGGTGGGGCCTGAAAGGTTCCAGGAGTTTAGGGTTTAGGGGTTTTGAGCTCAAGGGGGGTGTAGGGTTTTTGGCTTGGAGGACTGCTTGGTCTCAGGTCTGCTGTTTGCTTCCACTGCGGAATTGTAGGGATTGCGAGGTTCCCAGGGCCGGGCACCGAGGGCTTAGGGTCAACTTTATGGTTTGAGGTTCATGAGAATTCAACTTGGATGGGTTCGGGTTGTATATTAGGGGTCTACGAACATAAGGGACCCCTCATATAAACCCCCAAACAGTAGGATTCCTTTGGAAGAAGGACCCCAAGAGGTACCCAAAATTGTGGAAACCTCCCGCACAAGGCCCCCTAGTAAAGCTACTCGACCCCAGTAGATCCCTGGAACGCGTCCATCTTCCTGTCAGGAACGACATTCGGTGCTTCCTAAACCCCTAAACCCCGAACCCTCTACCTACCAAGGGACGCAACCAACCGGGGTTCGCGCCTGCAGTTCCGTAGATGCTGGCCTACTCCGCAACACCGGCCTGAGGGGGGATGCTTTTTTGGTTTAGGACTTAGGGTTTAAGGGTTTAGAGCGACTTCGTAGAATTTGGGTTTCTGGTTTGGGCTTCAGTCATGACAGCCCAGTAACCATACTGTAACAATAGCTTCCCCTAAACGCTAAACCCCAAACCCTAAACCCTGTTGGAGGAAGGAAAAGAGCAAAAGGGTACCACTGGGCTACCAAGCAGTGCTTTCCGCGGGCTGTCGCCCGGCATCTCAGGGCCACAGGATTTCGGTACTTCAGGGGAGCCACGTGACAGAGAGAGACAGGAATCAACGTAACCGTTCAAGACTTCTATCTAAACCCTAAACCCTGAACCCTGAATCCTAAACCCTAACCCCAAACCCTAAACCCTAGGCTGCATGTTCTTGGGCCCCCTGAAGAAGGCTGGGATCCCTTTCCACGATCCGCGGTTTTGGAGTGTGGGATGTAAAGTTTAGGGACCTCCCTACAAAAAATGGTACTACAGGGGCCTGAATAATGAAAGTGGAGTTTTGTGGGGGATATTATAGTTTAAGTATAAAGGGACCATAAGGGGATACTATTCGTAAAAAATATGCCGACCCCTATATTACTCTTCAAATCTGTTTGGGAGGCTAGCCCAAACAGTAGTGAAAAGGTATCAGCGTGACTGTTCGGGCGGGGCGATTGCACGACACTGCTTTTTCAGGCACCGGTTCAAGCGTTGCGGGGTGAAATTTTAAGATCAACACGGCCGAATCCGAGTAAACCTGACAAACCAGACCCCCCCCCCCACGGAGGGTTTAGCCACATCTCCCAGGAACGACTTCTAACTGGGCAGCAGTACCCATCGACATTCTACCCCATACTACTTGGAGCTTCAGGGTAGCTTTCAGTAGGGTTATAAGTAGCCAAAATCGGGTTAGAAAGTATAGCATAGCTACCATAATTAGAAACCTACTTATGCTTGGAAGCCCTTTTGACTCAGTAAGTCTACCTAGTATCCCCTAGAAACCCCATAAAAATCCCCGTAACCCAAGTCCCTAAACCCTGCTTACTATGTCCTTTTGTTCCAAGTAAACTAAGCCTTCCCTCGAAACCCTAAACGCTAAACCCTAGACCCTTGAACCCAAAACCCTGAATCCCTCAACCTGAACCCCTTAACCCTCAACTCCAAAACCCTCAAGGCCCCTAACCGCCTTAACCAACAAAGGCCCTACACCCTCAAATCCTAAACCCTAAACCCTAAAGGCCCCACACCCTACCACACCCTTAAGGCTTAAACCCTAAGCCGCTACACCCTTAAACCCTAAACCCTCAAGGCCCTGCACCCTTGAACCCTAAACCCAACGCATAAAAGACTCGTCCGCCGAAGGTTGTACCCCTTAAGGTTCCCCTTAAAAAAAAAACTCCCGATATGGCCCTTAGATTCCCTTTAGAGGGTCCTTAAACAGGGTCCCCCAAACCCAAAAGGGTACAACCTTAGGGGTCCAAGGTAGAACCCCACGACAAACCCTGGCTTGTCATGTGAAGTAGGGTTAAAATTTCTTGTACCCCCCCAAAAGGACACCAGATATATACACTCACCAATATTAAAAACGAACCTTATATACACTCACCAAAAACAGAAATATAAACCCTGCTTCATTTGGACCTCCAAGCCCGTGACCCGCTCTGCCAGGGAAACGTCCTTGAGGAAGCAGAGCCTGAATGTGGCTGGGTCTGGGGGTTTAGGGTTTAGGGTTTAGGGTTTAGGGTTTAGGGTTTAGGGTTTAGGGTTTGGGGTTTAGGGTTTAGGGTTTGGGGTTTAAGGGGTTACGGGGGTTAAGGGGGTTCAGGGGGTTCAGGGGGTTTAAGGGGTTCAGAGGGTTGAGGTTTAGGGGGCTTAGGGGGTTGAGGGTTTTGGGAATTAGGGTTCAGGGTTCTCTTGATGATGGTCCTGCTCGGGGTGCCCCAAGTAGGAGGGCACGTATTCTGAGTAGGTGCTGCGAACATTACAGGATTCTGTGGCAACCCCCGGGAACCCCCTCAAGGAGTGCATGAAGGGACATGGTGGGCCATCGAGGCCTGTTGAGGCGAATTGAGGCCCATCGGTTTAGTTCTCAGGCGTTCCGGGCCAAGCGCGAGTCGGATACTCATGCCGGGCCTGGAGCGCCTGAGCAGCCACATAACCTCAACGAAACCCATTGTTGCTCAATAAGCCTCAATGAACCTCAATGAGCCTCAATGGGCCTCAATGACACTCCGTGGTTCTCAATGGGCCTCGATAGGTTTGACACACTTCTGGAAGGGGGTTCCCTGACAGGGTTTCCTTGGAATCCTATGAGAACAGGGACCAACATCTAGTGAACTGACCATGTGTCCGGCTCCAGGCGGTATCCTCAACCATGACAACCTGAAAACACCCCTGAACGAAACCCTAAGTTGCTGAACCCAAGAGAAGTTTCTAGGAATTAAAAGTGTGCCCCTTTTTGGTTTAGAGACAGCTCCACCGCCGCTTCCGACCCCCCTAAACCCTAAACCCCTAAACCCTCTCTTTCAACCTTGTAGTGCCCCTTCCGCCCCTTCCTTCTGGAGGTGAGGTGACTTGAGGGATTTCGAGTCTTGAGGGTTTGTCAGGTTGAGGGTTGAGGGTTGAGGGTTGAGGGTTTGGGGTTTAGGGTTTGGGGTTTAGGGTTTAGGGTTTAGGGTTTAGGGTTTAGGGTTTAGGGTCGAGGCGAGGCGCTGCCAAACGTCGATGTGCTTCTCACGGAAGCCAGTCTCACAGTACGCAAAGTAATAGTTCCACCTTTCAAGGGCTTACCCAGGGACCCCGATACCCCTGAACGAAGGACTCTTCCTTAGGGGTTTGATGTCCCTCACGAAGGACCTAAACCCTAAACCCTAAACCCTAAACCCTAAACCCTAAACCCTAAACCCTAAACCCTAAACCCTAAGCCTTTACTTACAGAGGAACCAAACGCCCAACCAGAAGGCCAGACCCAAGAGTAACCTAGGAAGAAACGGGTGCCCTTTGTTGGTTTAAAGGGGGTTTATAAGGGAACCGGACCTTTAAAATAGCGGATTAAGGGCCTACTCTGGGTCCCAGTTACCCTAAACCCTAAACCCTAAACCCTAAACCCTCAAAAAAGGGGAATGAGGGTGTACTCTGGGTCCCAGGAGGGGAGTAAGGGGTACCACTGCTGTGTCTGAAGCACACTCCTGCTCGCGGGTAAACAATGGACTGTGTTCTCCGGACTCCTCGGCACGCCTTCTGCTTCCTAAGCCCACCCTGAACCCTGAACCCATGTTTCATCCGGTTCCGTCACAAAGGGACAAACCTGAAAGTCTGAGTCGCGTGGGACTTCAGGGTTCTGCATGGTTGGCGTGTTGCAAGTGTCCTAGACCTTCGATCCCGGTCCCTTGTTTGGCGCAGGTACCTATTATTTCGTTGGCTCAAGCCCTAAAACCCCAAACCCTAAACCCTAAACACTAAACTCTAAACCCTAAACCCTAGACCCTAAACCCTAACCCTAAACCCTAAACCCTAAACCCTAAACCCTAAACCCTAAACCCTAAACCCTAAACCCTAAGCCCAAAACCCTAAGCCCTAAGCCTAACTCAATTTCAGACCGAGGGCCGCCGGACAAAGGAGTCGTCAAAGCCCTCACCACTACGGCTGCTCACCAGTTGCCTGATCCTGACAGGACATCTCTAAGGGTGTATAAGGTTTAGGGTTTAGGGTTTAGGGTTTAGGGCTATTGACCCCAAGAGTAACCTAGGAATAGAATTGGTGCCCTTGTGATTAAAGGGGCTTTTCAAGGGAGCCTAAACCCCAAAACAAAGGGAATAAGGGCCTTGTCTGGGTCCGGGCTTAGGCTCTTCGGGTTAAGGGTCAGGGTGTAGAGTTTAGTGTCCCTGGCTTGTCACCGGACGACTCAACCCTAAACCCAAAACCCTAAACCCTAAACCCTACGCATGGATTTAGGCGTTAGCACATGCCTGCGTTGAACGCGGAGCCCTTGTTACAGCCCTCAGCACACCCATAGAGCCCAATACCCCTGAACTAAGGAAGATGGTAGGGTTTAGGGTTTAGGGTCTAGGGTTTAGGGTTTAGGGTTTAGGGTTTATAGGGTCTAGGGTCTAGGGTCTAGGGTTTAGGGTTTAGGGTTTAGGGTTTAGGGTTTAGGGTTTAGGGTTTAGGGTTTAGGGGTTAGGGTTTAGGGTTGTTTAGGGTTTAGGGTTTAGGGTTTAGGGTTTAGGGTTTAGGGTTTAGGTTTAGGGTTGAGGGTTTTTAGGGTTTAGGGTTTAGGGTTTAGGGTTTAGGGTTTAGGGTTTTTAGGGTTTTAGGGTTTAGGTTCAAGAGCTCCTGGTCGAGCAGCGCCGACCCTGTTTTTTGTTGGGCCGATGCGCAATTTTTCGTGGCCCCCCAACCCCCCCCAACCCCCCCCACCCCCCCCCACCCCCCCCCCCCCCCAACCCCCCCCACCCCCCACACCCCCCCCCACCCCCCCCCACCCCCCCCACACCCCCCCCCCCCCCCCCACCACCCCCCCCCCCCCCCACCCCCCCCCACCCCGCCCACCCCCCCCCCCCCCCCCCCCCCCCCCACCCCCCCCCCCCCCCCCCCCCCCCCCCCACACCCCCCCCCCCCCCACCCCGCCCCCCCCCCCCCCACCAACCACCCCACCCCCCCCCCCCCCACCCCCCCCCCCACCCCCCCCCCCCCCCCCCCCACCCCCCCCACCCCCCCACCCCCCCCCCCCCACCCCCCCCCACCCCTCCCCACCCCCACCCCCCCCCCCCCCCCCCCACCCCCCCCACACCCCCCCCCACCCCCCGCCCACCCCCCCCACCCCCCCACCCCCCCCCCCCACCCCCCCCCCCCCCCCCCCCCCCCACCCCCCCCCACCCCCCCCCCCCCCCCCCACCCCCCCCACCCCCCCCCCACCCCCCCCCCCCCCCCCCCCACAACCCCCCCCCCACCCCCACCCCCCCCCCACCCCCCCCCCACCCCCCCCCCACCCCCCCCACCCCCCCCCACCCCCCCCCACCCCCCCCACCCCCCCCCCCACCCACCAGCGGTTTAGACCTCTCGACTGTGCTCCAGCGCGGTCGGCGGCTTGAGCCGGAGGCTCTTAAATTTCTCGTTTCGGTTCGCTGTTTCGACCATCGAAAAATACCCACCCACCCGGAGTTCCCATAACATTAAGACATACAAAGTTTCTTCTTATTTTTATGATGGCTCAACATCAAAACTAGTGGGGTTCGCAAGTGTTTAGGTCTCAAGGGTTTAGGGTCTCAAGGGTTTAGGGTTTCAAAGGTTTAGGGACTCAAGGCTTTAGGGTCTCAAGGGTTTAGGGGCTCAAGGATTTAGGGTCTCAAGGGTTTAGGGTCTCAAGGGTTGATGGGCTCAAGGCCGGGCCTTGCCCACGAATCTTTGGGCCTTGCCCACGAATATTTGGGCCTTGCCCACGAATATTTGGGCCTTGCCCAAGAATATTTGGGCCTTGCCCACGAATATTTGGGCCTTGCCCACGAATATTTGGGCTTTTATGGGCCTTGCCCGCGAATATTTGGGCCTTGCCCACGAATCCCACGAATATTTGGGCCTTGCCCACGAATATTTGGGCCTTGCCCACGAATATTTGGGCCTTGTCCACGAATTTTTGGGCCTTTCCCACGAAAATTTGTGCCTTGCCCACGAATTTTTGGGCCTTGCCCACGAATTTTTGGGCCTTGCCCACGAATTTTTTGGGCCTTGCCCACGAATATTTGGGCCTTGCCCACGAATCTTTGGGCCTTGCCCACGAATATTTGGGCCTTTCCCACGAATACCATTAAGGTTTATCCGCCGACCCCCTTTTGTCGGCGTCAAGAAGCTGGACTCGTACCTTTCCCGCTGGACCCGCTAGTGCCCTTCCCCATGGACCCGCGCGGCTTCCTTTTTATCTGGATGGAACCACGCGTATTGTAACCCACCTCCATACTCCCGCGTTTTGTGACCTTTTGTGCTTTGGAACGTGGTCAAGCGGATGGAATCGCGCGTTTTGTGCGCCATTTCCCTACCCCCCCGCCCCCCTACTTCCCCCCCCCCCGCCAACCCTGCGCCCCCCCCCCCCCCCCCTTACCCTGCGATTAAAACATGTCCTTACCCCCCCCTTGCCCTTCCCGCCCCCCCCCCCCAACCCTGCGCCCCCCCCCCCCGCCCCCCCCTTCCCCTCCACTTGAGCCAGAAAAAACAAACCATTTTTGGTCAAACGGATGAACCGCTACCCGCCGCCCCCAGGTGGCCCTCCCCCCCCCCCCCCCGCGCGCCACCCCCCCCTTACCCACCCCCTTGCCCTTCCCTCGCCCCTCCCAACCTGCCCCCGGGCCCCCTTCCCCTCCACCTTAGCCAGAAAAAAACGAACAACCACTTTCCGCATTGCCTGCCGCCCCCTGCCCCCAACCCAGGACAACCAATTTTGTGCTTTGGAACGTGGCCAAACCCCCCCCCCCCCCCCCCCCCCCCCCCCCCCCCCCCCCCCCCCCCCCCCCCTCCCTGGACGTGGTTGGGCGGTGCCAGCAACTTCTTCGTACTCCTTCGGGATAGGCACGTCTTTGTTGCCCTCGATCTTCGGCATGGTATAGGCCCCGATCAAAGCGTATCGGTCCTTCGCCCCATTGTACTCCCCTTTTGTGCGGTAGGACTCCCCTTTTGTGCGGTAGGGGCCAGTGAGGTCCAAGGACAAAGTGTAGGCCGATGGGGCCAGCACCCGTCTGTGTGCTTTCCCCGTCCCACATGCCCTCACGCAAGTCTGACATCGCTTCTCATATGGTAGATGCCCATTCTGAACCATCGTCGTAGGTCTTCCTTTGTCATTTCGTCGAAAGGGCCCTCAAACCGCCTCAACGCTGGCCTATACTCTAATCTAAACCCTAAAGCCTAAACCCTAAACCCTAAACCCTAAACCCCAAACCCCAAGCCCCAAGCCCTAAGCCCTAAGCCCTAAGCCCTAAGCCCTAAGCCCTAAGCCCTAAGCCCTAAACCCTAAACCCTAAACCCTAAACCCTAAACCCTACCCTGCGGGCCGAGGCTCTGAGGCTCGTTCACGGTGAATCGCCGCCTCCACTCCTGGGGAGATGCGGGCTGAGTGCCAAAGCTGCAAGATGGCCCCGTGGGTGTACGAGATATAGGGCAGGGTTTAGGGTTTAGGGTTTAGGGTTTAGGGTTTAGGGTTTAGGGTTTAGGGTGTAGGGTTTAGGGTTTAGGGTTTAGGGTTTAGGGTTTAGGGTTTAGGGTTTAGGGCTTACAGGGCTTTTATAGGGTTTTTAGGGCCTGTAGGGCTGTTATAGCTGCAAGATGACCCATGGGTTTCCGGTTCATTTGGGGTTTAGGGTTTACAGTAATTATAGGGTTTAGGGTTTGTACGGTGTCTACGGTTTATAGGGCGTATTGGATTTAGAGGGTTTATAGGGTTTATAGGGCTTCTCGGGTTTATAGGGGTGGGTGGGGGGGGGGGTTGTAGCGTTTATAGGGTTGAGTTTTTTTTTGTTTTAATAGGCTTTAGGGTTTAGAGGGTTTACACGGTTTACAGGGTTTACAGGGTTTATAGGGTTGAGGGGTCTATAGGGTACAGGGTTTAGAGGGTCTAGAGAAATTATAGGGTTTATGGGGCTCAGGGCTTTGAGGTGCAGGGCCACGCTGCCTTCGCAATGTCCACCTTCAAGATTGACACTTAGGGTTCAGGGTTTAGGGTTTAGAGGTCCCAACTCTTCCCCGGAATCGTGGGATGAGTTCATCCATTCCCGAATACCATCCTTGTTGATCGCATCTGGGTCTTTCTTGTCTGGAGCAACTCCACCAGTGGGGAGTTACGTCGATTCAGGTTGTGCCTCAGAAGATCGACCTGCTTGGCATCATAGTTGGTGATAGTTGAGACTCCCGAGATCTTGCTGTCTGGACCACTTCCCGCCAAGCACTCTTTGAAAAGTGTCTCTCTCGACTTCTGTGTGGTCAACGTTTCTGCATCAAACAAAGCATCCTCCCTGAGCTCAGACTCGCTCTGAGCTGACGATTAGGGCTTAGGGTTTAAGGCTTAGGGTTTAGGGTTTAGGATTTAGGGCACGTCTTTTGTTGAGGAACGAACAGGGTTTAGGGTTTATGGCCCAATGCCCCGTGCTTAAGGAGTGAACCGTCTTCATAGTAAACACCCCCTATAAATCTAAAGCGTTCGCTTGCAAATCGATTCCTTCAGGGGTATGGGGGTCGGGCGGTGTCGGTCTTGGGCTATCGGTGTCGCGATGGACTTAAAGTACAGCGTTGGCCTAACATACGACAAGCTTTGTGGCTCGTGGCTTGCCGGTATCCAATGCCCCACAAATATCGAACCCCCCAAAAATGAGCGCAGTACGACTTCATATCCGTCAACCCTAGACCCCAAACCCGAAAATCAGAAAATGAGCACAGTACGACTTGACATCCCTGAACTAAGGGACTTCGATTCATACTGGGCCTTGGGCTCTCTGGGTTCTCAACTTGACCTGCCCTAGAGCCTCAAGCGTAAACCCTATGAACACGACCCTAAACCCTATACATCCTAAAAAGCCTAAAATAAACCCTAACCCTATAGAAACCCTAAACCCTAAGCCCAAATAAACCCCAACAACCCCAAAGCCCCAAACCCTAAGCCCTAAACCCTTTAAACCCTAACTAAACCCTAAAATAAACCCTAAATTTACCCCAAATTTAAAAACCCTAATTACACCTTAATTACACCCCCCAATTAAACCCCTAATTAAAATTAAACTCGAAATTAAACCCCAACCCTGTGCCGAGGTGCTTTGAGAGTTGCTGCGTACGACAGGCCCAGCGAGAAGGGAGCTGCACACTCCCGCAAAGAGAGCCTGGCGTGGTTCCAAGGGTTTTAGGGTTTTAGGGTTTAGGGTTGTTTTGGGACATAGAGCTCAAATTTAGGGTTGAGGGTTTAGGGTTGTTTTGGGACATCAAGCTCACATGTAGGGTTACCAGTTTAGGCTCCTTCGGGTTTAGGGTATGGCTTGAAACCCTAAACCCTAAACCCCAGACCCGAAACCCTTACATACACCCTTAGCCCCTAAACCGTTGGTTTGGCTTGACTGTAGGGAGGCTTATGGGGACTCGTGGTTCGGAGCACTTGCGCCGTGGCGGCTTAGGGTTTAAGGTTTAGGGTGTTTAGGATGTCTCTTCGAAGACACACGGCATACTAGTTGAGAATGGTAGTGCTAAGGTCAAGTTTCAACTGGTTGTGAGAAGACTGTATAGACTTGCAGCGCTGAATACTGAAATGCCAGAACTCGGACAGATTTTGGAGTATGTAAGAGAAGGAAAAAGAGCTTTAATCCTGGCCCGAAACCCAACGCGGAACCCGAAGCCCCGCCTACCCTGAACCCCGAACGCTAAACCCCGAACCCTGAACCTATTGGTCCATCCACCTAAATGGTATAATATACTATAAGGGTCGGAGTAGTTACAAACAGTATTCCCTTAGGTTCCTTTATAATGTTACGTTAAGAACCCCCAACACCCTATTCTAATTCTTCAGGCCTCTATAGTACCTGGTCCCAACGCCGCTAGCCTTGGTAGCCCAGTAACCATACTGTAATAACAGCACCGTTTTTTGGGGCTGGTTACTTTACAAGAAAACCACCTTGAACCCTAAACCCTAGACCCTAAAATTGACTAGGGTTTGGGGCCTTAGGGTTGACCAGGGTTTCGGGTTTAGGGTTGAAGGTTTAGGGTCTAGGGTTGACTACTTGAACTTCAGAACCACTTATATCTGTGCTTATAACCCTACTTATAGGGAGAACCCCCATAAGGCCCTTCAGGGGTATTATAAGTGGGGTTATAAGTACGGTTATCATTGGTGAGTAAGTACCATGAGCCTTCAAGTAGGGTTTGGGCCCTAAGGCCTTAAACCATCTGCGGCCCGAGAGCTGGTAGCAAGAGCGGTGGATCTCAGCCAGGCATGGCAAGTGCGAGCCCGGGAAAATCTTTTCGCGGATGAAGTCGGATCCATTCCTGGTTTAGGGTTTAGGGTTTAGGGTTTAGGGTTTAGGGTTTAGGGTTTAGGGTTTACGGTTTAGGGTGTAGGGTGTAGGGTGTAGGGTGTAGGGTTGAACCCTAAACACTACACCCTGAACCTTCAACCCTAACCCCCATAGGTTTCGGCATGCAGGCTTTGAGCTTCAAGGCTTTGGGGGTTTCTCAAGGCTTAGGGCATCCAGTGCTTACATGACAGGGCCGAAAGCCCTTCATCCCCCTCCCCCCAAAATATTAACCCCCCCCCTAATATCCCTAAATCCTAACCCCCCACCCCCCCCCCCCCCCCCCCCCTTACATAATCAATACCCCCATTATGGTTGTAGGATTTTGTATGGGAGGGGGGGGGGGTATTTAATATTGGGGGGCAGGTTGCCGCAGCCAAACCCTCAACCCTAAACCCCAAACCCAACACCTGAACCCTCCTAAACCCTAAACCCTAAACCCGAAACCCTAAACCCTAACCCCCCCTGAGCTGTTGAGGGAAATTAGCCCCAGTCTTCGCAGGGGGGTGGGTAGTTGTGGGGGTTTGCGAAATTGAGGGTACACCTTATGAGGGTCCTTATAATAAGGGAATCTTACTATGTGCGGGTCTATGTTAGGGGTCCCTATTTTCGTACAAACCCTCTTGTTAGTATGATGATAGGGAAGCTCTGGTCTCTCATGGTCTATTCCTTAGCTCATGTTCCTGAGTTAATGTTCCGAAATGAATGCTCTTACATATTTTTGTTCGGGCCTGTTAGGGTACCAATCAGGGCCCCAAAATGTGCATCCTAAACTGCTCTCGACATCCCTTTCCACCCCTGGCCTGTATGACTCGTAGCGCTCATCTGGCACGCAAATGGCCTGGATGGCCAGCTTGCCTCCAGGCTTCAGGCACCTTGCAGGAAGTCGCTGGGCTGCTGGGAGTTGAGCTGTTGTAGCATGGGCTTATAATAAATCCCCCCCTAAGTTTTCTTGAATTTCCCAAACCCTGCAAACTCCCCTAAATTTTCCTGAATTCCCCAAACCCCCTTAACTCTCCTAAATCCCCTACATCGCCCCGAATCCCCCTCAATCCTCCTGAATCCCCCCCTGAATCCCCAAACCCGAGGGCTGCCATGCTTAGACACGTGGATAGCCAATGGATGCAATAGAGGGGCCTGCATAATTGGAATAGGGTTTTGGGGATCTTATGGTATAATCACAAAGGGACCACAAGGGAATACTACTAGTAATTATTCCGACCCTATAGTAGCTGCTCATGCTTCGGGCTTACAGCCTGCAGCCTCGGCAAGCATCACTGGAGGAGAACAGCAGCTCTACCTCTGTTCCTGAATGCTGAAAGCCCAAAATGCTTCTTTCGGGCTTCTAAACGCCAAACGCCATAAACCCCAAACCCCAAACCCCAAACCCTTAACCCTAAGCCCTAAACCCTACAGGCAGCCGGAGCCCTGGACTTTGTGCCCTAAAACCTCAACCTCCACCAACCATGGCACTGGTCCAGCGCACCGAAGTAAACCGGCAAGTACTCGTGGCCAACGGCCTCCACAGTCGAAGCAGCTCGTGGCTTCGGGGCTGTTTAGGGCTTCAGCAAAGGGTCCAGAGGCCCCAAACCCTAAACCCTAAACCCCGAACCCTAAACCCTAAAAAACCCTAAAAAACCCTAAAAAACCCTAAACCCTAAACCCTAAACCCTAAACCCAGTTCGTCTCAATCCCAGGCTGCAGAGTTGAGGCCTCCATATCTTTCAACATCGATATTCAGGAGAGGGGGGGGGGGGAGTTCCTATTCCGGAAAACCTGAACTGGGTATTGGGCTTGGGGGTTTCTTGGCGTTTTTTGGGGGGGAGTCAGTTTTTGGAGTCATGGATCCTGTTGGCACCTGTAAACCTGCATTCTCCCACATCCCATCGCCGGGGCCTCGATCATCTCAACGCTCACCTTGGCATCCGAACCCCCTGCAACCAAAAAAAGCCTAAACCGAAACCCTAAGCCCCAAACCCTTTGCAAGCTTCCTTGCTGAAACTTGTTGGAGCCAACCTTACATGCCTCGGCCATGAAAACGGCCAGACCCCAACGAAGGCGGCATTGAAGGGGTGCTGGATTCAAAAGATTGCTGGGTTTGGGTTTCGGGCTTTCGGACGCATTCTAGCTAAATAGGCCTGGGTTCGGGGGCCCAAAAAGGCACCTTGGAAATCATGTGGGCCATGTTCTGGTACTATCCCTGGTAGCCCAGGAACCATGTTGTAGCAAAGGTACCCTTTTTGGCGTTCGTGACTTCAAGCACACAAGGGTGCCACACTAAAACCCCGGGGCCGAACCTTTGGGGTTTAGGGTTTCGGGTTTAGGGCATGGAGTGGAAAGTGACCAGGACAAAGTCCGGTCGAAAGGCGGTATCAGGCCCGAAGGCTTAAGGATGAAACCGCAGAAGAAAAACAAACACAAAGAAACGACGTGCTCCAACAGAAGCACAAGCGAAACAACAGGCACGCATGTCCCAAAATGGCTAACTACAGGAAGCAAGCTTCGCAACGGAGAGGTCGTGACAGCAGCACGCGGGCAGGCGCCCGCCAAGCCCGGGGGAAGGATACCCAGAAAGCCAACAAGCTTTGCCTGGAGAAGTTCCACTGTATCACAAGTGCGCACTGGGGGCGGAGAGGGGTGCTCATCGGGCAGATGCTTTGTGCCGCCCCGGGGGTCCGCACTCTCCCCAGGCCATCCCCCAGCAACCACGCACACTCGTCCCCAGGGACTGCCAAAGCAGCCCTGAACGCCCGCGACCCGCTCCAGACGCTCAGGAACACCCCTACATAGACTCTGCTAACTCCTGGTTCGGGCCTGCATTTCATCCTCAGCCACCAGGAGCAATGGCTCCTGACAACACTCAGGGATCTCGAGCCCGCACGAGTCCACGAAATGGCAGGAGTAGGCCAAACTTACGCGGCTGCAGGCCTCTGGCTCCTCTGCCACTCCCAGCAGCGGCTCTTCCTCCGCCGGCACAAGCCATGTTCTCCTGCGCCGCAATGTTGCTGGCGCATGCCGCGCTGACCTTCCGGCAGCAGCAAAGCTGCTGGAAGAACACGTCGCAGAGCGACATGCTGTCAGGACCTCTAGTGGCCGCTAGGACGACACCTTACGGCAGCTCTTGAGCCAAAAAGGGTTTAGGGTTTAAGGTTTAGGGTATAGGGCGGTTTAGAGCGGTTTAGGGTTGAGGGTTTAGGGCAGCTTAGGGTTTAGGGTTTAGGGTTGGGGTTACGGGTTTAGATTGGTAGACCCCCAAACCCGAGTGCTCGTGCCTGCGGTGCCTCCGTTTTGCAGGCTTCCTTCTCAACTTGAGATGTTCCCCCTTATACCAACAGTCCTTACCAGCATGGGCTATAAGGCATTCTAATCCCCCTACTGTAGCCAACCTATAAAGGGCCTTTTCAAGGGGTTCTAGGGTACAATAGCCCATGTAGGTAATAGGGATTATAGTACCCCCATATGACTTCCCGAATCCCAATCCTTGCGAGTCACTTTACCAAGATCCTAAACCCAAGCAGCCCGATGCCTAAACTCAAAGCTCCGACAAGAAGCCTAATACATAGGGTTTAGGGTTTAGGGTTTAGGGTTTAGGCTTAGGGACCGCCCACAAGCCTTCTTTGCCCCGAGAAGAACAAGATGCCCCGGAAGCTGCACAAAAGCCCCATTCAGCCGAAACGAGGTAGGGTGTTCAAAAAAGACCCCCCCATATATATATATATATGTATATATCCATATGTATATATACAGTAAATATCAATATAAATAAATAAATAAATATAAATATATATATATATACACACTGGCACCAAGAAGAAACCATGCATACACTCACCAATAAACGCAACATAGACCCTGCCGCATAGTAGTCCTAGAAGCCCCAGAACCCCACGCCCACGGTGCTGACAGGTGGCCGCCTTCGAGAAGTATCCAGCTCCGAAGCGGCCCTGCAAGTGTTTAGGGTTTAGGGTTTGGGGTTTGGGGTTTAGGGTTTTGGGTTTGGGGTTTAGGGTTTGGGGTTTAGGGTTTGAGTTTGGGGTTTAGGGTTTCGGGTTTCGGTTCTCCTTAAACCCCGAACACACGAAACCCTGGAGGATGGAGGGGCTTGAGTGTTTGAGGGAGGGTTGTAGGGCTCAGGGCTGGGGCTTACACCTTGAGCCGCTTTAGGGTTTAGGGTTTAGGGTTTAGGGTTTAGGGTTTGGGGTTTAGGGTACAATAAACTCCAAGGTAAACCCCCAAACCCACTCTTGGGCGGGCTTTGCATGCGCAGTGAGCATCTCCGAACCCCCCGAGGCCAATCCTGAAAATCCCAAGCCAACTGCGGGTGTGGAGTTCACGCGGAAACCAAAACCACAAAGCCCTAAACCCAAAAACCCGAACCCCCAAAACCCCAAACCCCAAAAACCCTAAAACCCAATGGCCTAAGCCCTAAACCAGACTTCCGCTCTTGGGAACCCAAACCTGAGCTGGGTCAGCTCTTAACGACAGCTTCAACTTCCTCAGGGGAGGAGCAACCCACCGACTTGTATGGGGTTAGGGTTTGGGGGTTTGGGGGTTTGGGGTTTTGGGGTTTTGGGGGTTTGGGGGTTTGGGGGCTTGGGGGTTTGGGGGTTTGGGGGTTTGGGGGTTTGGGGGTTTGGGGGCTTGGGGGCTTGGGGGTTTGGGGGTTTGGGGGTTTGGGGGTTTGGGGGTTTGGGGGTTAGGGGGTTTGGGGGTTTGGGGTTTAGGGTTTAGGGTTTAGGGTTGCAGTGCAGCCTCTTTGATAGTTTAGGATTGAGGGCTAAGGTTTTGGGGTTTAGGGTTTGGGACTTGTGATCCCTCCATTTGTAGGGTTGCGCGTGAGCTTGCTCAGGTCCCACATTTTGGGGCAAGAAGCCTCCCAACAAAGTAGTTGATAATCCATCCATGGTAGGGCTTCAAATCTAGTGCCTTGCGGAAAGGGCAACGTAGGGACGTAATGTAGGGGCCTGAATAATTAGAATGGGTTTTTTTGTTGGGGGGGGGGGGGGTGGTTATAGTACATAAGGGGATGCCCCTAGTAATTACTCCGACCCCTCTATTGGGGTATGAGAGGCTTCGCTCTTGAGCAGCCCGGCAGAGGCCCAGGCTACCACGTCCCGGTAGTCACAGAAGATCACGCTGACCTTGTCCCCCACACCTGCCTCCGCGACACCTCAAGATCACCAGGCTGATCTCTGGACTCCGGAGACACTTTGGGGTTTAGGGTATAGGGTATAGGGTTTAGGGTTTAGGGTCTTACAAACACCCACACACATACCCTTTAACCCCAAACCCAGACCCTAAACCTAACCCTTAACCTAAAGATGCAAGACCAAATCGGAGCCTTTATCCTGTGAGGGCTTTGGGTGTCGGGTGCTGCTTTCACGTGGGTTTCGCGACTCAGACGCGTGGAGCTTCCCTTCTCGCGCAGTGCGAGAACGCCAGGTGAAGGAAGGAGGGGGCACTCCTTATTTTCTAACCCGAAATACTTTTTTCGTATTCTAGGAACCCTATCATAAGGGCACCCCGATTTCCGGAAACTCGGACATCATCCCGAACGCCCTAAAAACTACCATTCTCGCTAGTTTCGGGGCTCCACAGGATTTAGGGTTTAGGGCTTAGGCTTCAGGAATGTTCATCTGGTCAGTTCTCCGATGGTCCCTTGTTGAGGAATCCTGTTTGACTACGACCCCCCTCATATTCGGGTACCTACTCGAACCCCTCAACAAAAATCTCTAAAACCGCAAATACTCTAGCCATAAACCCTAAACAGCCTAGACCCTGAAACCTGAAGACTCCAAAGGCTCTCAGCCCACCAAAGTGGCTTGCAAGTGCTGCTGGGAAGCGCTGGTTGGCCAGCTCCAATTGTTGCCTAGCGACAGCAATGGAGGCTTCAAGCAACTGGTATCGGTGTAGCGCATCCAAACAATATACAGTAATGGGGTACCTTATTGGGGCCTTACAATAGAAGGGATCCTACTATTTGTGCGTCTCTTTTCGGGGCCCTCTTTGACGTAAACCCCCTTGGGGATGAAAGGCACTGAGTCTTTGAAACCCCCGTGCGAATCATCCTAAACCCTAAACCCTGAACCCTAAACCCTAAATCCAAGATGTTTGCGACCTGCGATGCATCGAAGCCGCTTGACATGTACACCCCTATGATCAGCAGACGGTATTTGCGGCAGAACCCAAGCCTCTTAGCCCTAAACCCTAGACCCTCAACACTAAACCCTAAACCCTAGGCCCTAAGTCATCTCTCGTAGATGCCAGCGCAGATGTTTCCACTGACCCCGAACCGACAAGCCCTAAAAACGTAAGCCTCAAGAAACAACCAACCGTTCAAATTTAGGGCATTGGGATGCTGGGGTTCGGCTATGTTTACGGTACATTGACTCTACTTCGAGGTTTACTTAGGTAGTTATAAGAGTATGGAAATATACTTATGGCCCTAGTTAGGCTATTTATAACCGTACTTGTAACGACGCAAAACCCTAAACCCTAACCCTAAACCTTAAACCCTAAACCCAAAACCCTAAACCCTGAACCCTAAACCCTAAACCCTAAACCCTGCTTCTGACTACCCGTGAACCTCCAAGTAAGCTTTCAGGATTGGGAGTTAAAGGGCTAAGTCGGGTCTCGGGTCTGAGGGCCCAGGCTGTTCTTCCTGCACACCCAAGGGCTTAGAGGGTTTAGGGTTTAGGGTTTAGGGTTCAGGGTTTAGGTTTCAATTTCAGGGTTTAGGGCTTAAGCACATCCTCCAGGGCCGGTAGACATGCTGGAGAAGAGGGCGGAAAGCCTTAACAGCGTTCATCTGCTAGGAGCCCTTCCCTGCAGGAAAGGCCCCAATTTTCAGGGTTTATAGGGCTTAGACAGGAAGACCCTGAGCGACCTTTTGTCTCTTTGCCGCTTCTGGGTCTTGCTTGTGCATACGTGCATTCGGCAACTCGAAGAAGCACAGGGCCCAGCACTGCCACCACTTAACTCTTGAACATACCGAAACATGGCCTTAAATTCACGATGTGTCGGGGACGTTTGAGGGCCCTTATAAAGCTTCAGGGATGCTACCTCAGCACAGGAGACTTACGATGGAGCTGCTCCAAATGCCTTCCAGTTTGAGGGCTTGCGGCTCTAATCTAGGTATGGAAGAAGCTTTGGGGGTTTTCGGACTCAGGGCTTAAGGCTTAAACTCCCTGAGGCCTCCCTTACTCGTCCAGTTGCCTAGGGGAGCGGAAGCTACCCCAGAATGGGTTAATTTCCCTCGACTACTAGCTACAGAGTTTGCTGCCCCAACACAAGATCTGCCTTTCCCCTGAGCACACAAATATACAAGCCCAGCGGAGCCACAACGCCGTTCACAGGCCCAAGCCGTATCTTGAGGATACTATACTACCCCGCCTTAGCTAACCTCCATCCAAGCAAAGGCCCACACAACCTTTATCTAGTGCCCTGGAGGGGCGAGAGGGGGGGGGTATGATCTTGGGGTAGTCACGGTCCCTGAGTCTGGGCCCTTAAAAGGCTTCTATACCCTTTATGTACCCTACACAACCCAAGATACTTCAGAACCCGATATAGGGCCCATATAACTACCCTTAGATATGAACACAGGTTGGCTCTGAGGTAGCCCCTGACCATTCATTTCCAACTCTGGCCGAAAAGCACAGGTCCCGATGCGCAAAGTGCTTCGAACTTCTGCCAAGTGGGGCGCTGCACCCTTAACCCTGAGACCCCTACATCCTAGACCCCTAGAATCCTAGACCCCTCGGAAGCCAAGACATCCCTTGAAGCTCTACTCTTTCAGTGTTTAGGGTTTAGGGTTTGTGGGCCTGAACTCTCCAACATTAAGGGGTTCAGGGGGGGTCAACACGCTTAGGCCCGAAACTCTGCCACAAAGGCCTCGTATACCCTGGATCCCAAGGGCTCAACCCAAAACGCCAAAAAGATTAGACCCTAAACCCTAAACCCTAAACTCTAAACCCTAAACCCTAAACCCTAAACCCTAAACCCTAAACCCTAAACCCGCCCACATTCAAACCCTAAGCCCTCAAGTCCGAACCCTAAGCTAACCCTGATCTCCTAAACCCCCAAGCCCAAACCCCTCAACCCTTTTTTGGTCAGACCAAACCCTAAACCCGAAGCCCTAAACCCTAAACCCTAAACCCTAAACCCTAAACCCTAAACCCTAAACCCTAAACCCTAACCCTAAACCCTGAACCCTAAACCGTCAGTGGGCCGGGCCCCCAGTAGCGCCAGGCCAGACCCGCGGCCCGGCCCAGCAGGAAAATCGAGAAGCAAACCTTTGGGTGGGTTTTGAGGGGGGGTGGGGTTTAGGGTTTAGGGTTTAGGGTTTAGGGTTTGGGGGTTAGGGTTTAGGGTTCAGGGTTCAGGGCTTAGGGTTTAGGGCGTAGGGTGTAGGGGTTCCAGGGCTCCAGGGTTTCTACGGCTTAGGGTTTCTAGGGTCCAGACGGAATTTGAGGTTTCGGCGCTCATGTCCCACCAACCCAAACCCTACACCCAAGTCCAACCCGCTAAACACTAGTAGAAACCCCAGACCCTCAGCCCTAGAAGCCCCCTAAACCCTAAACCCTAAACCCTAAAACCCTAAACCCTATAACCCTAAACCCGAAGCCCGGAACCGGGGGCCTATGTATCCTATAGAAGGGGCGGGATCGTTCTGAACCATCGATCCCCTTGCTAGTCAAGGGGACCCTAAGAACCCCAAAACCCTGCGTTTGCTGCTGCAATGTTTGTGCTGCTATACTTACAAGTTCATAGGCAACCAAACAGACTCAAAACCCCAAAACGCTAACCCCTCAAACCCTCAAACCCTCAAACCCTCAAGCCCTCAAACCCTAAAACCCTGAAAACCCTAAAACCCTAAAACCCGAAAACCCTAAACCCTAAACCCTAAACCCTAAACCCTGAACCCTGCAAGAGCCCATCTGCCCATCTGAATTGAATGCCCGCCGAGAAGCCCAGACTCCTTGAAGGGATCCGCTCAGGATGTCCAGTTGCAAGAGGCCCAGGGTCACCTGGGCGCGTGGCTAAACCCCAAACACCCTTAAACCCTAAACCCTAAACACCCTTAAACCCTAAACCCTAAACACCCTTAAACCCCAAAACCCTAAACCCGAAAAACTCTTCAACCCTCTGGGGCTTAGACCCCCTGATGCTTAGTAGGGAATGAGGGAATTGGCCCTATACATACCCTTTCAGGGAGTATATAGGTACCTCGTTCCCTCATTCCCTACTAAGAGCCAGTAGAGGGCTTGAAAGTTTGTGGTTTAGAGTTTAAGGTTCAGGATTCACAAAGGTCTAGAGATGAATTGTTTAAAGGGCTTAGGGTTTAAAGGTTTAGGGTTTGAAGGGTTTTAGGGGTTTAGACATATCGCTAGAGGGTTATGAAGCCCCCGCACACTCCCCGCCAAAGCACTTAAGCCCTAAACCCTCAACACTGGACCCTAAACCCCAAACCCTAAACCCTAAACCCTAAACACTAGACCCTAAACCCTAAACGCTAAACCCCAAACCCTAAACCCCAAACCCTAAACCCCCCCAAGCAAGAGAACTCCTCACTTTTAGGGGCCGCCGAGCTGCCAGGGCCGCAGCCGCCATGGCGAGAGCGAGGTAAGCATAGTCGGAGAGACCCTGGAAGAGTCCTGGGCCATTGGGTTCCAGGTTTTGTTTAGGGGTTTAGGGGATTTTAGGGGTTTAGGGGTTAGGTGTTAGGTTTGGGTTTAGGGTTTAGGGGTTTAAGGGTTTAGGGGTTAGGGTTTGGATTTAGGGTTTAGGGTTTAGGGTTTTAGGGTTTTAGGGTTTTAGGGTTTTAGAGTTTTAGGGTTTTAGGGTTTTAGGGTTTTAGGATTTTAGGGTTTTAGGGTTTTAGGGTTTTAGGGTTTAGAGTTTAGGGTTTAGGGTTTACGGTTTTTGGGTTCGGGTTGCGGTTTCAGGGCGAGTTCCAAGTTTAGAGCCTATAGGGCCCCTTAGGAAGCCCCCAAAAAAAGCCCCCTAAATCCCTTGATGAAGGAGCATACCATATAAACTACATACGGATCCTTAGTATGATGTAAGGTAGATTCCCTTAGTTTCAGCTGTAATCCTTAATTAGGGGGTACTGAGCTCTTCGAGCGCTGTAAGCACTATCTGCGGGGGTCAGCTTGAAGGGAGACTACAACCTGCAACTGTCATGTCACAGGACGCTTGACCCCATGCTTTGGTTGCTTTCATTTGGCGATTTCTACCTGGGCTATAAGTACCCTAAATAGGCTTCTATAAGTATAGTTACATGAACCTCCACGTAGGGCTTGTAAGTACCTAAATAGGCTTGTAGGTATACTTACCGTACTTATAAATGAACCTCCAAGAAGGGCTCAGAGCTTCAGTGCGTTTATCGTAGCCATACTTATATCCCTACTTATACCAATCCACATGAACCTCCAAGCAGGGCTCAATCCATGCAGGTTGGGGGTTTAGAGTTTAGGGTTTAGGGGTTTAGGGGAGGGGTTTAGGGTTTAGGGTTTAGGGTTTAGGGTTTAGGGTTTAGGATGTAGGTATCCAGGGCTCCATCCCAGGTAAACACCACTCCGGCAATCGGCTGCAAGGCAGCCACAGTCCTGGGCTGGCTCTCGATCTAGGGTTTAGGGCTTTAGGGTTTTAGGGTTTTAGGGTTTTAGGGCTTTAGAGTTTTAGGGATTTAGGGTTTTAGGGTTTTAGGGTTTTAGGGTTTTAGAGTTTTAGGGATTTAGGGTTTTAGGGTTTTAGGGATTTAGGGATTTAGGGTTTTAGGGTTTTAGGGTTTTAGGGCTTAGGGCTTAGCAGACGCGCCAGGAGTGCCTGCTTGGAGGTTCATGGGAAATTGTAAGTAGGTTGATTCGT